TTCTTTAAAACCTTGTATAATTGTGTTTCGATGTATATTAAGGACGCATTTCAATAAACCTTTGAGGTGAGAAGTCATTTCCGAGTTATTCGCATTCGACGTTTGTGTAACCTTTTTTATATATTTAAACCTTTTGTCCTGCCTGTTGTTTGAAATTGGGAATATTTTCTTAAAACCTTGTATAGTTGTGTTTCGATGTATAAAGACGCATTTCAATAAACCTTTGAGGTGAGAAGTCATTTCCGAGTTATTCGCATTCGACGTTTGTGTTACTTATGTGATATATTTGAACCTTTTGTCCTGCCTGTTGTTTGAAATTTGGAATATTTCCTTAAAACCTTGTATAGTTGTGTTTCGATGTATAAAGACGCATTTCAATAAACCTTTGAGGTGAGAAGTAAATTCTGAGTTATCCGCACTCGACGTTTGTGTAACCTTTTTTATATATTTAAACTTTTCCTCCTGCCTGTTGTTTGAAATTGGGAATATTTCTGTAAAACCTTTTATAGTTGTGTTTCGATGTATAAAGACGCATTTCAATAAACCTTTGAGGTGAGAAGTCATTTCCGAGTTATTCGCATTCGACGTTTGTGTTACTTATGTGATATATTTGAACCTTTTGTCCTGCCTGTTGTTTGAAATTTGGAATATTTCCTTAAAACCTTGTATAGTTGTGTTTCGATGTATAAAGACGCATTTCAATAAACCTTTGAGGTGAGAAGTAAATTCTGAGTTATCCGCACTCGACGTTTGTGTAACCTTTTTTATATATTTAAACCTTTCCTCCTGCCTGTTGTTTGAAATTGGGAATAGTATTAAAAAATCAGTTGTTTGTCGTGAGACGAGGTTGAAATTGTGATGTTTGCAAAGCTTATATTAAATTTTTAGATATCCTGAATGATGAAAGTGAAAATATAAACCTTTTCTCCTGCCTGTTGTTTGAAATTGGGAATATTTCTTTAAAACCTTGTATGATGAATTAAGGACGCATTTCAATAAACCTTTGAGGTGAGAAGTCATTTCCGAGTTATTCGCATTCGACGTTTGTGTTACTTATGTTATATATTTGAACCTTTTCTCCTGCCTGTTGTTTGAAATTGGGAATATTTCTTTAAACCTTGTATAATTGTGTTTCGATGTATATTAAGGACGCATTTCAATAAACCTTTGAGGTGAGAAGTAATTTCCGAGTTATTCGCATTCGACGTTTGTGTAACCTTTATTATATATTTATACCTTTTATCCTGCCTGTTGTTTGAAATTGGGAATATTTCTTTAAACCTTGTATAATTGTGTTTCGATGTATATTAAGGACGCATTTCAATAAACCTTTGAGGTGAGAAGTAAATTCTGAGTTATTCTGTTGTTTGAAATTGGGAATAGTATTAAAAAATCAGTTGTTTGTCGTGAGACGAGGTTGAAATTGTGATGTTTGCAAAGCTTATATTAAATTTTTAGATATCCTGAAGGATGAAAGTGAAAATATAAACCTTTTCTCCTGCCTGTTGTTTGAAATTGGGAATATTTCTTTAAAACCTTGTATGATGAATTAAGGGCGCATTTCAATAAACGTTTGAGGTGAGAAGTCATTTCCGAGTTATTCGCATTCGACGTTTGTGTTACTTATGTTATATATTTGAACCTTTTGTCCTGCCTGTTGTTTGAAATTGGGAATATTTCCTTAAAACCTTGTATGGTTGTGTTTCGATGTATAAGGACGCATTTCAATAAACCTTTGAGGTGAGAAGTAAATTCTGAGTTATTCGCAGTCGACGTTTGTGTAACCTTTATTATATATTTATACCTTTTATCCTGCCTGTTGTTTGAAATTGGGAATATTTCTTTAAACCTTGTATAATTGTGTTTCGATGTATATTAAGGACGCATTTCAATAAACCTTTGAGGTGAGAAGTAAATTCTGAGTTATTCGTATTCGACGTTTGTGTTTTTTATGTTATATATTTAAACCTTTTCTCCTGCCTGTTGTTTGAAATTGGGAATATTTCTTTAAAACCTTGTATAATTGTGTTTCGATGTATAGAGACGCATTTCAATAAACCTTTGAGGTGAGAAGTAAATTCTGAGTTATCCGCACTCGACGTTTGTGTAACCTTTTTTATATATTTAAACCTTTCCTCCTGCCTGTTGTTTGAAATTGGGAATAGTATTAAAAAATCAGTTGTTTGTCGTGAGACGAGGTTGAAATTGTGATGTTTGCAAAGCTTATATTAAATTTTTAGATATCCTGAAGGATGAAAGTGAAAATATAAACCTTTTCTCCTGCCTGTTGTTTGAAATTGGGAATATTTCTTTAAAACCTTGTATAATTGTGTTTCGATGTATATTAAGGACGCATTTCAATAAACCTTTGTAGTGAGAAGTCATTTTCGAGTTATTCGCATTCGACGTTTGTGTTACTTATGTTATTTTTTAAAACCTTTTGTCCTGCCTGTTGTTTGAAATTGGGAATATTTCTTTAAAACCTTGTATAATTGTGTTTCGATGTATATTAAGGACGCATTTCAATAAACCTTTGAGGTGAGAAGTCATTTTCGAGTTATTCGCATTCGACGTTTGTGTTACTTATGTTATATAATTAAACCTTTGATCCTGCCTGTTGTTTGAAATTGGGAATATTTCTTTAAAACCTTGTATAATTGTGTTTCGATGTATATTAAGGACGCATTTCAATAAACCTTTGAGGTGAGAAGTAATTTTCGAGTTATTCGCAATCGACGTTTGTGTAACTTATGTTATATATTTAAACCTTTTGTCCTGCCTGTTGTTTGAAATTGGGAATATTTCTTTAAAACCTTGTATAATTGTGTTTCGATGTATATTAAGGACGCATTTCAATAAACCTTTGAGGTGAGAAGTCATTTCCGAGTTATTCGCATTCGACGTGTGTTTTACTTATGTTATATAATTAAACCTTTTGTCCTGCCTGTTGTTTGAAATTGGGAATATTTCTTTAAAACCTTGTATAATTGTGTTTCGATGTATAAAGACGCATTTCAATAAACCTTTGAGGTGAGAAGTAAACTTATGTTATATATTTAAACCTTTTGTCCTGCCTGTTGTTTGAAATTGGGAATATTTCTTTAAAACCTTGTATAATTGTGTTGAGATATATATTAAGGACGCATTTCAATAAACCTTTGAGGTGAGAAGTCATTTCCGAGTTATTCGCATTCGACGTTTGTGTTACTTATGTTATATAATTAAACCTTTGATCCTGCCTGTTGTTTGAAATTGGGAATATTTTTTTAAAACCTTGTATAATTGTGTTTCGATGTATATTAAGGACGCATTTCAATAAACCTTGGAGGTGAGAAGTCATTTCCGAGTTATTCGCATTCGACGTTTGTGTAACTTATGTTATATAATTAAACCTTTGATCCTGCCTGTTGTTTGAAATTGGGAATATTTCTTTAAAACCTTGTATAAGTGTGTTTCGATGTATATTAAGGACGCATTTCAATAAACCTTTGAGGTGAGAAGTCATTTCCGAGTTATTCGCATCCGACGTTTGTGTTACTGATGTTATATAGTTAAGCCTTTTATCCTGCCTGTCGTTTGAATGTGGGAATAGATTTTTATAACCATACATGATTGTGTTTCGATGAGGTGAGAAATTTTCGACGTTTTTTTTTGTTGTAGTTGTATTTGGATATAAAATAAGCCACATTTGAGATCCTTTACTCAAAAACCTTTCACGCGTGGGAAGTAATTCCGCGTTATCCAAACTTGTATACCATATATGAACGCTATTTTATATCATATTCCTTAGTGTTGGTTTTGTACTTTTGAGTGCAGACATTTGGATCGCCGTCGAACTTGATATCCTTAAATACTATAATTCTGAGAGTATTTGCATTTTCATAAGCCGAAAATAAAGCCATTAACTCCTGGGATTTTATGAAATAAGACAACTTGCAAATTGAAGACTGTGGGGAAATTATTTTAGATAGCTGTAGTTGATAGGAATTTTGTAGCAACGAATTTCAGATGTTTTAATTTTGCTCGCATGTAGAGTATGTTCGTGAATCGCGTAGATTGTAATGATTCTGAGCTCTTCGTGTATATCCTTTCTTTCGATGTTTCAGCACTTATTAGAATGGCTTAGAGATTCTATATTTTTTAAGACTTTTAAGGACGTTCATATTAGTGAGAGGATATATGTCAGTGGATTACTCCAGAAAGTTGAATTTATATCCATACAAAATTGTGTGTGGTTAACGTCAAGAAGAATAAGTTTCTATTCGGCAGCTTTGGATTTATATTGATATTTTTCAAAATTAATTTTGTATTAATCAAGAATTTTATCTCCATTTGTATGAATATCAATTAGGATTTTGTATAAAAAACGAATTAGATTGTTGAAATCGTTATTTATTTTGAAGAAAATATTGTTTGTGAGTCCTGCTGGAAGGAGTATTTCAAGCTATTGATTGAAAACATGTTGATTTTGAGGAGAAGCCCGGAAAATGTGTGTCCAGTAATTGGATTTAAGTATTTGATATAGTTGATGTTGCCTTTGTTGATGTGATGTTATAACGTGATTGCATTATTTATAGTTTACGAAGACTAGATACTTGTTATAATTATGTGCCATAAGTATTTTTCCATATAATTTTTGTGTAGGGAATGAAATTCTTGTTGATTTGTTTCGACTTCGTGTCAGAAGAGTTTGAAATTGGGTAACTTAAGGTTTATGTTCTTCATATAATATATATACCGTTTATCGAGTTACTAAATTTGCAAATTAAATTTCGCTTTTCATAAACCTGGGATAAAACCATGTGTAATAATATTGTGATCTTAAAATAGTTGTTTACTCCCTTTTCAGTTTACCTCTGCCTAGTAGCTCCCGTTATGGATTTTCATCTTCAATTTAAGGATTTGAATTCATTTGTCGACGACATATAATTAGATGTTTCTTATTCGTTGAAAGCTAGACGTACTGAAAGTTTTTAGAACTTAAATAAAAGTATGAAGCCCAAATTTTTAGAAATTTATTGTAGATCTTATATTTTTATTCTTTTTCAGATAATTTTTCTCTTTTGCTCTTGGTAAAATGTTTTTTTTTTAACTGGAAAAGTTAAATTACAGTATTATAAGATAGTTGTTTTCTTAGCATTGTGGTTGTACAAAAACAGAAAAGTCTTTAAACAGTTTCAGCTATTTAAGAACTTAAGTGAGAGACGCTGTTTGCGTGTGTGTTTTTTTTGCATTGTTGAGTTTAAAGTTATAAAAGAAACATAAATTCCAAAATTAACTTGTTTGCTAATGTTACCAACCAACTACAGTTTCTTCGACTCGTTCGATTATTTGATACTCCAGGGGACGATGTTTCTTTCGACAGATTTAATACGCTGGCAAGATCAACCGATCGATAGTCGGAACAGAGATATATCTGTATGTTTTGGTGTCGGTATGATGTTATGTAGATAAACAACAGACTGTGTGACTTTGGCAAGAGTCTAGTGGAGCAGAGAAGTCGATACACCAGAGTTCCTATAATTTAATCCGCACAATCAATCTGATATACACGATGCACCCTGAGTGACTCGACACAGTCGCAGGAATCTGGACTGCGTCAGGCGGCCAAAATGCAAAATGTTTCAGCATTCATAAGGCACGCCCTTTACAGCACAGGGGTTCGAGTTCAAGTTCGATCGATCGCGTATCAACTTTCAACGCCCAACTATAAAGTTTAAAAAGAGAAATACATATTGCTTGGTTAAGTTGTAAAAAAATATCAGTGTTGCTAAAAGCATATAACATTATAATTAACTCTAAACAACTATGGGTATGTTATAAACGACTAGAAGAGCGTATACATAGAAAATCCAATATTAGCGAAATTGTATAACAAGAGAGTATCGTGCTTGCTAAAAAGTACAACAGATATTGTATGTATGTTTGTTCATTTATTGCGGTGAAATTTTCCGTCAACTTGAGGAAAAACGTATGAAAAACGTTGAATTGCAAATTTGGCACAAAGGGAGAAATGTATAGATACATACAATTATTTATGTATACCCGTTTGAATATATGTATGTATGTACTTGTATGTATATATATTGTATTCGTATTTTGTAATTTCAAATCGTAAGTGGAAGCGAGACGCAGCTATAGAACAGTCATACGCTATTTTTAGTGCTGACCCGCTTAGTGGGGGGTTAAAATATATCGAGAATGTTCGACCAGAACAAGTGGGCCTGTTCTGCGGGCTGGGAATTTTCTAGATGCGCAATTACGTAATAGAATGTAATATAAAATATATACGCAAATGTAAATTACACAAGTTTGGTTAATAAAGACAGAGCAACAAATATGTATGTATATAGCAGAAGAAATCGTTTGGAACGCATTTCAAGTAGAAAACCTTGACGCAACGATTGAAAACAGTTTGCTTTTGTTGTTTTTGATGATTGATAATTACAAGTACTTAGGATAAGGTGTGTTTGCTTACGGATTACTAGAGGTATAAAGTGAACACGTTAAGACCGCTGGATTCAATACCTGCTTCCTATGACAATTCCTCAATGTCAGCAGAAATCGGAATCGGCTACAACAACGCCTTCAGTGCATTTCCTGCCTGTGTGGTGATTCAAAAGCCTCAACCTTCACTTTGCATCTGCTTCAGAGCCTGCCTAGTAACCAATTTTCTGTCCGAACGAGCGACAAAATCTGCAACGCTGTATGGGTTTTGTGTAGCCTCATTTCCGCATTGTGAAACTCTGCCCGACGATGACGACGCTGACTTTCTTTCTTCAATCAAATTTCATTTTCTCATAGCAATTCTGCCTGCCTTTGTATGCCACTATTTGGGCCTTCGTAACATGTTGTAACTTCGTTGACTGGCCTTTGCGACGCCATTTTTACACTTTTCAATTTCTGATGAGTAATACATTTGGATGTATTTGTAACTGTGCTATAGATATAGCAGAAAACTGGCACTTTTTCAACTTCTTATAAATTCACTGGAGAAACACACTTGGACACTTTTATTTTTCGAATGGCTACCACTGGGCTTGGCAGCCCTATTTATACCCATTTCTGAGCTAGTTTTGCTGACGTCTCGAAGTTTCTTGTAACATCTGCCGGTCTGCTTAGTCTGTCGACGCACCCTCCCTTTCGCGTGGCTTTATTTTGCTGTTGTGTGAGCGAGCTCGCATATACGATGCGGCCTACGTGACGCTCTACCTGTTTTTACAAACGTTTACCCAACGTTATGGGGTAGAAAGAAAAGTACGAAGTCGCGGAAGCAAGACAGCTGCATATATGTATATTAGTATTGCTAATTCATGGCGTTGCCAGCATGAGGTTTAAGGAATATTCCAGTATACGAGCATCATTTGAATTTCATTGATTTTTGAAATAATTTGCACAAAATATGCACCTTAATTTTTCATTCATACTATTTGTGTATCTGCATGTGTGCATACATAGGTATTCAACAAAGAGTAAACCTTTCTTAATGAAGATTTTGATGCAAAAAGGTTATCTATACTAGAGGAAAGATTTGATTGTTTGTTTGTTTGTTTGAATTGAAAAGGCGGATTTAATGGATTCTTTCACTGTTGGGAAGCTATACTATCGATGGGCTATATTATATTTGCAAAAAAGAAATGGAATCCTTACTAAAACGCCAATCATGTAACCAAAGGTGTAAAAAAACCTGAATAGCAAGTTGTTAGTTCATAATCATCCTCGAAACATTGTCACTTTAAATATTAAGGCAATATTATTCAAAAGCCCCCAGCATTGAAGACATTTAAATTCACTAAACCATTCTGGACTGACGGTAAAATTCGGAATTGCAATCATGCTTTTAAGAAATTAAAGCCTTCCAAGCATGTGCAATGGGACGAGGCTGATTATTAAGGAATTGCAGGACAATTTAAGTGTAGCAACTATTATCAACGGCCCAGCAACTGGTCAACTAGCACATATAACGAGGATACCGATGATCCCATTTCATCATTTATATGGCTTCAATTTCCGGTAGTCCCAAGGCCAAGCCTTCGAATTAGGAGGGATCGACATATGAAAGCAATGTTTTACGTTATGTTGACCTATCACGGGTCGGAGCTCCTGAAAATCTATTTATTTTGCTACCACAAAATAAAACATCAAATAGAGAATATCTGACCTAATAAAGAATAACAAAAAAATCTAAAAACGAACAAAAAATCATTAAAATAATAATATCCAAAATAAATTTCACTCCTTCTTAGTAACTCATAGCAAAAAGAAGGGTGTATGTGTGTTAAGTGTGTGTGTTATAAAAGATATAATTTGTAAAATTTTTGTAAAAATACCCGTGCGAAGCAGGGGCAGGACGCTAGTTTACTATAACAATGTAGAGTATAGCTACACAAATAATAAAAGTTATGTTATTTACATATATGCATATGTATATATATGAATACACACTCATGCATATATTTTAAATTCTTTAATATTCGTATTGGCATAAAAAGAGTTGCCGAATGTATGCCTGTTTTAGGGCTCTGTTGACCCCACGTTTCGTGAAACATCTGCCGGTCTGTGCCGGCGTTCCCACCCCACCGAATGACATTATTTTGACGTTGTGTGAGCGAGCACGCATAATAACGCTAAATACGTGACTCACTGGCTGTATTCACAGACGTTTACAAAACGTCGAGGGTAGAAACCGAACTAAGCAGTGTGTGCAAGAGACAGCTATATGTATATAACTAATGCTGATTCTGGCGTTGCCATCGTGATGTTTGAGGAATATTCCACTGTTCAAGCGCCAATTTGAATTTCGTTCTTATAGAAATAATTCACAAAACGTATGCTCTATAATTGATAGGAATTCAACACAGTCTAAACGTTTCTTGATGATGAATCCGAAGTTAGAAAAGTCTTTATATAATATTTATTTATTATTATAAATAAATTATATAATTTCTTTATATCAAATACATATATATTTACAAGCAGTTTTTAAGAACACAAGAATGATATTAAACTGCGACTTATTTTTTTTGCTAATGTTCATGCAAGTATATTAGCTAAATAAAAATAATAATGGGGTATTTGGACTTAAAATAAATTTATGCACCTATATCGTCTCTGCATTCTGGGTATAACGCCTACTTCTGTTAGATACATATGTACATATCTGTGTCCTTAGTATAACTAAAAATTACTTTTTTAAATATGCTGTATAAATGGTGTAAACACATATATATTTTTGTAATATAAGGCAATAATACTGCTAAGACTAAATGACATTATTATTGAAATGAAAGAAAAGGATAAAAAAATAGGGCTTTGTGTAGAATACAATTGTTTTTGGTGTATTTAATGGCTGAAATATAGTTTCAGTTAAATATAATTTTTCTACAAGAAACCTCTTTTTGATTTACTTTTCAAAACCAACTTATAAATTAACATAAATTTGTGTTCATATTTGCACGTGGCCTATAGTCTGTTTCGTGCTTGTATTTTCTGCTATTCGATCTTTTTTGTGTAAACTCTCTTCTACATAGACAACCAATTCATAAAAAAATTCTTTTCTACATTTAAATATACTTAAAATTTGAAAACAATTAGCCAACCAAACACTCGTTTCTACCTAATAAGCTACCCTTTTTAACCCCTAACTGTTGTACCTAAACTGGCTAAAAGGGCAAAACCCTCCGCCACCATCGCATCCGTCGCTGAAAATGTTCTCAGTGTATGCAGGCAGCACAAATGCCTGTGTGTGTGGCTGTATGTGTGTCTGAAATCAAACACAAGGTTTTTGAACCTTTGGCCGCCTATTGCGCTCGCTCAGCAGGCCAGCCTGCCAGCTGTTGTGAGCGCGCGCATATCCTGCACTCAACGCTTAGGGGTGAGTAGAGGTGATGGTGGTGTTGGTGGTGAGTGTAAATGTGAGAATGAGTGTGAGTGTATCCTTGAGCGTGCCAACGGTAAATAGAATTGAGCGTTATGGCAAATTGCGCTCAAATGGGCGCACACTCAACTTGCTAACGAGCGTAACGGGGCAAAGCTTCGCAACTGCCATTAAACTTCGAACAAAAAGTATGCAAAACGGAACGATAGGAGCCAAAAGTTTTGATTGTTGTCCCGGGAGTGGGGGCTAAAGGCAATCGTAATGCTTTTAATTGCTTACCCAGCTTACCAAGCTTAACCAACTTGCCCAGCATGTCTGCCCAGCTTAGCAGATGCAAATGCAAAAGGGCAGAAGACGCATTATGAGTCTCCCTACTTCCGTTTTCGGTTCGGTCGAAAGGAATAGCAAAACAATAACAACAAGTGTAAGTGCACAATGCTGGAAGGAAGGCATAACATTGGCCATAACAGTAACAGCAAAATAAAGACTGAAGGCGACAATTTCAAAAACAACACAAAAGGTCCCAACAATGATAACGGATAACAGTTAGGAAATTGCGTATACGCCGTGTGTGAGCGCGTGTGTGCAAAATGTTGGCTGGTGGCTGCTAAATGACAACAATTGGGCCTCTCTTGTTGCTTTTGTTTTGTTTTGTTTCCTGTGCCACAGGACTTACGGTAAATTGAAGAAATACAACGAAAGGAAAGTGGGAAAGGAAAAAATGTGTAGCATAGCTAACGGCGTCGCTTACTCAACACAATGCACCGCAATAAGGGGAAATGGAAATGGCATAATAAATGTATTTATGTGGCAGCTAGCATTCTTATTTATGTACGTGTTTTGTTTTGTTTTATTGCTTTCCCCAACCACTGCAATCACACCAAACAAACACACACCCACAGAGGCTGTAAAGTCGCCTTCGCGCATCTTTTTTGCTTCTTCTCTTTGACATTTTGTAATTTAACCTTGTTTATTACCAAATGTGGTCCTTCAGTTTTAAGCCTACAAAGTTGTCTGTATATATGTATTTCGCACTATGCTAAGCCCACGCTTTCCATGTGCATATGTGTGTGTGTGTGTGTGTGTGAGGGGCAATGCATAAAGAAGAAAAGGAAAATAAAATAAAGTGAAAAGCAGGAGCAAAAACAAACAGCAAAACTTTGTCATTGCATTTGAGGGCCATTGGTTCAGCACACCATACATGCACATACACACACACACACACACATACACATACCCAAATACTATATGTACAGATAGGCATGCACACATAGGCGACAAGGACGTGGGCTCGCGCGCTCGCTTGCTAGAATTGAGCGCACACGAAGCTCGGTATGTGGAGCCGTTGGCGACGGGCGCGGTTTGGCAACAAGGACCTACATTTGTTCGTCTCAGCTTCGGCAGCGCTGTTATCGCACTCGTCGTGGCCACTCGTTGCATTCGGATAGCCTGAAAAACGACTTACCCGTGGACTATTTCCAGCAGTGCTGCTTCAGACACGATACCGTAAACAACGCGGCGGCCAAAAGGTTTTCGGTAAAACCTTAGCATGGCACACGGAAACGACCACGCGTAGTGTTCTTAACTGTTAACTGCGAAGGTGTGTGTGTGTGTGTGTGTGATGGTGTTTATGTTGGTGTTTGTGTGTGTGTGTAGGAGTTGCGTTGGAGTTGTGCGAAAACTTTGCCCAAAATGGAACTCTATGCTGCACATTGTTGCATTATTTTTGAAGCGTGGGCTAAAGAATAAACTTGTTAGATTTTTCTAATTGCTATAAGGATAGCTAAACAAGAAATATAATTGTAATGGCAACAAAAACAACAACAATTGGCGAGCTGACATTTTTTCACACGCCTCATTGGACCTTTGACCAGGCCATGTCACAGCATGTCAGCTCAATTAAGTTTGAAGCACTTTCACGCTCGTTCAGGCACAGCCATAGCCATAGCCATAGCCATGGAGTCAGAGCCACAGTCATGTCAGAGTCAGAATATCGGCCACATTGGCGCTCAGGCAAGCGAATTGTGTTAATGGGTCTTTTGTCGCCAGTTTGTCTGCTGGGGCCGCCAGCACTGGTTAGTGGCAACTACCAACTGGCAGCTGGCGATTGGCAACCAGGCCACTCCTGCCTCAATCGAATCGAATTGAAACTAGTGGCGCAGCAACACAGACGTGCCACTTGCTTATTATATTCGTGGCTTAGCCTTTGCACAGTGAACTTCCTTTACAATAATCTAAAACAAAACCAATCGATTAGAAAGTTTTTGGCAATATTATTTCATAATAGTAATTCGTATTAATTGTTTTGTAAAGTCTTTTATAATTTCTTATTGATATGAGCAAGTCTTGATGAAATTAACGTAGTGTTATATTTTAGGGTTTCTTATACATACGTTTTATCAATTTTGAAATGAATTTTCAATATTTTGAAACTCATGTTTTGTTGTAAACTAGTTTGAATTCATTTTAAGAGACTCAAAATTTACTTTCTGCCTTCGCATTCTTTTTGACATTGGAAAGCTAAATCTTGTAGTTACTATTTTTAAATAGTTGTTTCATCTTTAAAGATTTTGTTGTAGCTTATATCGTATATATATTTTTTAATTGTGTCAATTAATTCTAAATTGAATATTTTGCTAGCATTTATTAAGTATTTTTTTCATTCCAATAATATATTCTTTTGTAGAGTTTATTATTATTTTTTGTAATTGATGCGAGCGCTTTAAATAATATTATAGTCGTTAAAAAATCGAATTAGAAGTTGAACCAATTTTCGACTTCTAATTTTAAAATAAACCATTCAAAACTATGTGTTTGGACTTAAAATCGGTTTGATATTTTAATTTGCGTAAATAAAATTTCGTATTTAAGTTAAAGTTTAGGTATTAAAGTTTCTTTCTTATGTGGTTTCTAAAGAATTTTAATGTGCTTGTAGTAAACATTTTAAAAGCACGAATTGTTTTAATATGTAAGCTCCAATTTGAATAATGTAAACAAATATTAATGTTTTTCCATTTTTTTTTTGTCAAATTTAAATTATGTTTTGTACTGTTTTCAACTATAGGCATATATATTTTGTTTATAATTTTGAAATAAATAGAAATTGAATAAATTGAATTGAACAACTCCTAAGTTAAATATAGTGTTTGATAGAAAAAGTTTAAATAATTTGTGGTTGTTAGGATACATTAGTTTTCTTTGTGATTTCATTTCAAAACTATTTGTTCACATTTATAATTGATTTAAAAAGTGCCTTAAGGTTTTTTTTTAATTTTTCACAATTTTTGTTAATAACTTTTTGCTATTTAATTTTGAAACATAGTGGGTTTATAGGAATATAGACTGTATCGAATGTGCTGCAAATGTATAGTACATATGCGCACAGGGCAATTGTTTTAAGTCTTATTGGCGAATTTGGCACTCAATCGGAGTGTGTCGTGCGCTTGGCAGTTGTGCTTAATGGATTTTTTATATGCTGCCATTGAGTTGTTTTTTGTTAGTGTCTCGATTCGTCGATTGCCAGATTGGTCGATTGGTTCTTCTATATATTTCGTTGAAATTTGGAGGTCAAAGTGCAGGACTGCAATATCAATTGTGGGTGAAAAATAAAAATAAAAAAACATGAAAAAAGTGATATTAAAATTAATTAACCAAGACACAGGCAGATATATAGATATAGCCGTAGACTGATAGACGGGCAGATAGCCGGGTGGACGCAGACGCAGACGTTGCGCATGTGGTGTTCATGTGTTGTCCATGCTCGTGTCCCTGAGCCTGTCCCAATGCCTGCCTGCCGCCTGCTGCCTGCCATCAGGCTGACTTCGTTCAATGCTACGCCATGTGTCCAGGCAGCCAACATTTGGCCTTATCTGAATATGCCAACACAAGGCCTTTGCCAGTTCTCGTAATGCCTGGCAACAAGCTGACGAACGAGCCACCAACACCAACACCGCCACCGACACCAACAACAGTAACAATAACAACCAAATATTGTAGGTAGTTACAAATATTTTTCGAAATGCAGACCAACCTTGGGGACTGCGAAAATTGCAAGTGTTGTGCAACTCACCCCCTACCCTCCCACACACACACACACACGCACACACTTCTATACACACACCCTCAGTTATTGAAGTGTGTATTTTGTGGCATTACAAAGTTAATTGAATTTCCCTCAAATTTAAAGCAAACGAACAAAATCAGCATATCACAAACAAGTACGAGAACAATTTTTATGTAAACGCGTCCCACAAAATGAAACGCGCTGGAATTTTGATAAACTTTTTCTAGAAAAAAATACACACAACAACATATAAATAAAAATAAATTAGACGATCGAACAAGTGAAAAAAAAGCTGGAAACACAAAAAGTACATATATATCGAGACTTTTTAGTGATACAAAATGGCTGCCAGTGGGCGGCTTCGCAAACGCAACAAACATAAAAGCCATACGAATGGTGCCGCCACAACAACAACAACAACAACAGCAGCGCTGCCAACAACAACAAGTAAAACTGTGCTTGGCACGGAAGCGCAGCCACGACCGTTGACAGAGATTGAGAATATGGATATAGATTTGGATGTGGATTATAATAATTTCACGCATAATTTCGTCGAATTGCAGAATTTGTTGAACTTCAACGACTTCAGTATTGGCAGTCTGAATAGTAGTGTCAGCAGCAGCAGCAACAACAACAACAACAATGCTGTTGTCTCGTCAAGTGACATTAAATTGAGTAACGGCGCCATTATGGACACTCTTTTGGGCAACGTCTTGACAACGGCTACGGCGACTGTGGCACCCGCCGTCACTTCACTGTTGTCCTCCACATTGGCAGCGAACAGCACCACAACCATAACCACAACACTGACAGCAACCAGCACAGCATCCTTGTCTTCGGCCGCAGTGGCGGCGGCGGCGGCAGCAACAACAACCGCTGCAAATGCTGGCGCCTTCGTGCAGGATCAAGCGATACTTATTGATGCCACCTCATCCACCTTTTTTTCGAATCTGTTGCTGGACATGTCGCCGGCAACGACCAGCATGATATCGGTTGCGACAGCCACCAAGTCCTATAACGATAGTGCCGCTTATTGGGAACAGCTGGAGACACAGGACTATGGCTATGGCATGGGCTCGCTCTATCGCCACTCACTGACCATGTCCATTGTCTATAGCATTGCGTACGTCATTGTGTTCCTGGTGGGCCTGATTGGCAACAGTTTCGTAATTGCCGTCGTCCTCCGTGCTCCTCGCATGCGCACCGTCACCAACTATTTCATTGTTAATCTGGCCATTGCCGACATCCTGGTGATTGTCTTTTGTCTACCCGCAACCCTGATTGGCAACATTTTCGTGCGTAAGTAATGTTTTCTTTGGTTAGATTTTAATGGTAATGGTAGTGGATGCTTAATAGCCGGCCAGCTCAGATTTATTTGCTGCTGCACAGTGCCTCTCGAGACTCTCATTAACACGAATGGTCGCTCATTACGACAAGCTCATGCATGACTGGCCTGACTGGCACTTTCTGCTTAGTCCGCTGCCTATACTTGCGGGTACTCCTATTCTCTTCTTTGGCTAATGTTTGCGTGCTGTGCATATTAGCCGGATTTATGTTAAGCAATTAATATGGCTATGGAGTAGGCCGCTCAACAAAATGAGCCCTTAGCCAAATGACAAAGAGGAAAACTGTGGTACTTAGCCGAGCCTAAAATTACAGCTGCACACACATCAAAGGCAATTTGTTGAAAATCCCAAATACTACAAGTATACTTACATTGCCAGACTCTCGCCTTTTGTCAAGAGACTCACAAAATAAAACGGACCATTTGCTTGATTCCATCGATAACATGCCAGACACAGGCACAGACAATTCGAATGGTCCAATTAAATGGACTTCAAGGTCGAGTTTATGATATCATTACATCATTTGATGCAATTCCTAAGCAAAATATAAAATACTAAGTGACTGTGATTGCATGCTTTTTATTCATATCGTTAACCCTATAATGGCTTGTAATTGACAACATGGTGGAGTAGACATTAAAAATAATAAGGCACAGAGCAGATGACAATAATGAGATCCTTAAAATCAAGCAATCAAGCTTAAATATTATTTAAATACAATTAACACTTAAGAACTGGCAACAATAATGACTATTTGAAGAATTTTAGAAGCTGGCTTTCCCTTTACATGATAATATATAGTTTTCCTTCAGTTAAAATATATAATTAATATATTTTTTAATGCAAATAGTTCAGCTTAAGTTTTTGTTCAATTATATAAAATGTAAATTCAAAATAATGCGCCAGGAGAATTTTCTAATAGCTAGAAATCAATATGATTAAAGTCTTTATTTTTATTAAACAAAAACAATTCTATGTTTTTGGAAATCAATCAAAATTTCTGCTTACACCAAGTGTATACACTTTACATTTTGGGTGCAGAGTATAAAAATAACCGCTTTATTTTAGGAAATTTTTTTCCTTATATACAATATAAAAGTATTTTTGTTATAATCGTATAAAAAGATAAAGTAAAATCAACCAAATTACATTACAGGTCTATTCTTATTCGAAGTTTAACAAAATTTTTTGTATCTTTGAAAAAACAAATCTTTATATATTTTAAACATACAAGTATCCTCACATATCCTGCAGACAGAGTCAGATTTTATTTCCTTGATTAATGTGTTATTAAATCAAATTCCTAAAGTGGCGATATACTACGCTTTTCAATTAATATATCTTACAATTTAATAAAATGCTTGCTTCGTTTAATTTCGATTTATTATTAATATCAAAATAACGCTATTTAAAATGGTTTTATACTAATTACATATGTTAATTTGGCATTTGTTTATAAATAACTTGATATTTTAGAAACTCTTAGTTGTACTAAGCGAAGTTTATGGTTTTTTTTTTTTATCAATATACCTTGTTTTCCCAATCTCGTATTTATTTCAAATTTTATTTAATTTCTAAAAACCTTTTAAGTCGAATAACTTTTTTATTTTGCCATAAAATCAATCCATTTCAAAATTGGTACAACGCATTGAATTAATTGGCATTGCAATACATCCACACTGTCCACTTTAAAATGCAGATGCCTAAGAACTTAATTAAACAGCAACAAAAAAAGTGGACGTGAACTTTTTTATTGCTACTCAGGAGACGCCATAAACAGCTGCTATGCCCAGTTTTTATTGCTGGCCAATGTCAAGTGTCAGAGCCTTATCCAAACATGTCCTACAAGTTGCCACACAAAAGCCAATTAGCATATTTAATTAACGCCCATTCAATTTCAAATCTGAAGGAGACCCTCCTCCAGTCTCATTCGAACGAGGTTACGCACAAAAGTGTTCTTTAATTTAAATAAATTGGCCTGCGGTATTGTAACTGCCTATCTTTTTAGATGTGTTTGTGTGGCAACTAAATTGACTGTCACAGTTTAAGCTGAAATCGCATGCAAATTCGTTGCCGACATGAAAAAATGATCAAAATCCTTCAGAAATCAAACGTTGATTGTAATGCATGCCATGGCTTGAATGGCTTGGCTCGGCTTGGTTTGGTTTGGCTTGGCTTGGCTGGGTTGGCATGGCATGGCATGTCGCCTTGTCGGGCCAAGTAAGGGCAGGGCAGGTCATAGTCAGCACCATTATTCACCAGAGCCAGCAGCTGCTCGACGCCAACACCATTGCCCTGGTCCCCTTTTTTTAGGCTTAACATAGCGCCAACGTTCGCCAATTAAATGGCGCTGCCTTACACATTTTCTTGTTGCCTACATCAAGGCGCACAAATACACAGAAGGGGACACAGACACGGACGACAGTCGACAGTGGCAGCATTGCACTCAAGAGGCTCAACAATCAGCCGAATGGTTGGGGGAAGGAGAATGAAGGGCTGCCTAGACTGTAGTAAACGAATGAAGCGAATGAAGCGCACAATGAAGAAGGGAAAAAATGAATGAGCTGCCTTGCAGTCCTGAGTGTGACTGTGTCTGTGGCTGTGTCCATGTTTGTCACTGTATTGGGTGTGTGTTTGTTTGTTTGTGTGTGTGTGTGTGTGTGTGTGTGTGTGTGTGTGTGTGTGCGTGCGGTGCGCACTCGCTCTGTCTCTCATGCTCTCACTCTCAATGTTTGTTTGTTGCTGCTACATTTTTGCTTTTTATTTTTACTTTTGGGGTGGTCTAAAGGATCATCGACACAGAACTGACCTAATTTCACAAATTCAACTTAGGCGCAGGGTTCGCCATACACCAAGTGTCTTTGTATAAGTGTGTGTGTCTCTCTCTGTGTGTGTGTGTGTGTGTCTGTATGTGCGACCAACGTTTAGTGGGTCACTGTGGGTGGCGGTAGGTGAACGGTAAATTGTAAATGTTTGATGTTTCTGCTGAGGTGGTCCCCTCTCGCTTTCAACTTGGGAGCAGTTGCAAGCACACTATACGTATGTATGTACTCGTATATTTCGTTTGAGATACAGCAAAATGTTGTTGGTATTTCACTTGACTTGAGGTGGGGGTTTTCTTCAGCTTTCCTTGTAGGGCATGCAAATTCTTTCCACTTTCGACAATTTGCTTTAAATCGAAGGCAACCTCAAGCAGCAAACTGCAAGCAACGTTTTGGTTTTTTTCCTCCAACTATGCAAGGAAATTCCATAGAGTGTGAGGGAGAAAGGCTACCGAGCTAGGCGAGAGTCTTAGGGCCTGCATATTTGGCATATTTGCACGACGTAGCAGGGCCCGCCGTCTGATATTTTTTTATGATGCCTCCTCACAACCTCGTCCAAGCGGCCCACAAAGAATGGCCGCTCAGGTTCGCGCCCGCACCCACACCCACACCAGCATTAGCGACATACAGTGGTGCGTTTAATCTTTTTAAAAAAATCTACATTTGTGATTGTTGAGCTTGTGAGAAGATACTTCAGCGTGATTTCCATTGTAAAGCAAATTGTTAAGTTTTTTTGAAAGAGGTACTTATTAGCAATCGATAGAAGAAGATAATTCAGTGTAGCGGAAAATATTGCAAATTATTTTCATTTGTGGAGGTCAAATTTAAACTGTTGAATTTTCTGTGGGAACTACTTGTATATGTAGTTGAGAGAAGAAGGATCATTGAACATTTTTTGTTAAGACCAATTCGAATTTACAGACTACAAATGTTGCTGCTTTATGTAAATAAACTTAATACTATAGCTAGCCTTGTTAACATTTTCAAACAATTTTAATTCAAAAAAATGGCGTGACAATATTATCTGTAATATTGCTTGATTATAAAAATATGTTTGAATGTGTTGCCTATGGTTTGTATCCTTAAAAAGCAGCCAAAAATTTAAAACAGTGCGAATTTTAAAAATGTTTTAAAAAAACTACTTCTTGAATGTTAAAATGGAATATTTCAAATTGAAACTGACAAATTAATTGTTTATCATAGCAATAATGTACATGTAGATAATACATATACAATGTACAATATATATATATATATATATATACATAATATACTTATAATATATTTATCATTTTTCAATTATCTTCTCTTATTTAGACGAAGTTTTAATTTAATTTTAAAAGGAGAACAGCTATGTTTCTTTCATTAACAAGCAATAGTTAAAGCTTAGTCCTCAACTCTAAACGACCCGACGATTTTTCAGTTAGACATTTCAAATTTTGAAGCTACCTTTTTCCTTCAAAATTGGTCATTTTTAGCAGCAGAGAAGTCTGAAAGGACCACTGTGCGTCGTCTAGCATTAAAAAGAATTATATGAAATCAAATTCGCGCTGGCGTAGCCGTCGGCGCCAACGTCGCGTTTGTCCATCGCACTTTGTGTCTGTATTTGTGTGTGTGTGTGCTTGTGTGTGTATTTGTGTGAAAGTGCATGTGTGCTGGCGTTGTAGTTGTGGTTGTTGGCACTGTCATTATCTAAGCACACCTTCAGCCTCAGAATTGCAATGGAAGGTTGTTTGGATTCAAGGCTCTTTGCGGCTGGATAAATTGACCTAAATATTTTTGCTCAACAACCTAATAGTCAGGGTTATACACACACATTTATATAGAAAGTTTGTAGGTGTGTATGGGTGTGTGTGTGTGTATGTACCTGACACGACCGTCTTGTGTCTGCTGCTTGGCTGCTTTTTATGTATTGGACTGTGTGCTTATTTATGTGTATTTGAAAACCCAATAAAATGCGAAATGAATTGATTTCTTTGCCGTTGCCGTTGCCTTTGCTGTGGGTGTTGCCTCCTCGTCCTTTCGAGGCATACAAAGTGTTTGTATTGTTGTTGTTGTTGTAACTTTTGTTTTGTATTCTTGCCTTGAGCTGCGTAGAATTTGCCAAGCGTGTCCTTAACTGGTTTTCATT